TAAATATTTATATATGTGTATGTATAGGTCAAAATTTCTGATTTTTGAAAAGTGAAAGTTGATTTGTTATTTTTGAAATAGGGTAAAGATAAAGTAGTAAAACTGAAATTTTCCCTAAAGTAAATCGCATGATGTGCCTCCCAGGAGTCAGGGTGGAGAGCTTATAGATAGGCCTTGGGCTTTTAACCCTATGGTAACTCCCGCTTGCAACAAAGTCAATTCCACCTTGCGGGAAATCGAACTCTGCACACTACCTCGCTGAGCCATAACCGCCCTCCCCTTTGCCACTGGGAGATATGCCCTGGGGGCCAATGGATTCAATTTTAACTTGATATAGTTGCAATGACTTGATCTTGAACTTGAAGAGGCTTTTCTGAAATTATATCTATTCAATATAAATCTTGAATAGATTTGATCAAAGTAATTCAACACGTAGAGAATGTGCACGTGTTTACACACTGAACAATTTAAATAATATATATAGATATATGTTTTAATGTTTTTACGCGATGAAAAAATTAAATTCAATGCATCGTGCCTTGTTGTTAATCAAAGTTTAGTACTAAACCAAACTCATGCCATGCATGTCTCTTTGTAGAGCAAGGCTCATGAGTTCATTTAGCTACCCATGTCCCATGTTAGTTGGTAATCAAGTACAAACCCTAAGCATTCATTTGAAAAGAATTTATAAATAGTTTATGAAATACATTTTATTATTGATAAATTTTATGAAATGGAGGCTAAATAATTAAGCTATTTAAGTTGAACTTGACAAATTAAATTAATTATTCAGATGAATTGTGTAAAAAATTAAAAAAGGAAACCCCTACTTTTGATTTTTATTATTATTGCATTTATATATTTAACTTTATATATTTAGCCCCTATTTGACATACATTATGCCCTCGTTTGATTCTTAATTGATCTTCTACACGAGGCTTATGATTATCAATGTTGAGAGTTGAGAATACCATATTGGTGTAAAAATGTATAGAAAATTGATTTAAATGTTTATGCATAATCAGTCAGAAGTTAATTGCACAAACATTGGTATAATAGATTGTTTATCGATTCGATCTAAATAAATTTAAAAAGATTTAAAAAAATAGAATATTAGCTTTAGGAAATTATATAATTAAATAAGAATTAAAATAATATAAAATTACAAAAACAAAATTTGCTCTTAGTAATATTGAAAGGGTAAACAAAACTCAATTTACTGCAACTAATCATTTAAAAAAACAATAATAATATATAGATTGACTTATTTTTTCAAGTTAATTAATCAGAAAAACATAATTTTTAAACAAGAATCAAATATGGTGATTATTTTAATAAAAGTTTCTTTAAAATTTCTAAACATTTTTTTTTTCTTTTTTCAATCATCATTTATTTATTTTTCTCTTTCTATTAGATATGTGCATTGTTTGCTCTGTGTCTGTAGTCTTATCCATATTTTCACACATTGAATTGAAAATTCATTGAGGTCATTTTGAGAATGTCAATGTGAAGAACTATTTTTACTTATTATCTTTGTATAACAATTAATTCCCAATTTGAGCTTATAATTAATACTAGGTGCAAGCAACGTGTAATGCACGTTTGCTTAGTTTATATTTAATAGTTTTGTTTAAGAATTAATTTGTTATCAATAAAGATGTAATTTTTTTGGTTAATTAAGGGCGTGTCTGGGCACGCTGCAAGGAGGAAGGAAAATTGATTATGTTACCCTTTTTTTTTT